TAGACAGGTCTGCTAAGTTCTACTTAGAACAGGATCTGAAGGAGAAATTTCAAGCTCAAAACATTGACAACTCTTGTGCCTTGATGACCGTGCAGACAATCCCTAATCTGCCACTGTCCAAGAAAAACATCACTATGCTGTCAAGGTAAACCATCAGCTTCTTGTTCCCAGAAAACAAGAAATTTTATAGTATAGCTACTCTAAAGCCTGTTATTTGAAGCCCTCTTTATTTATTACTTTAAATGCACCTATTACACAAAATAGTAAGCCCCTAACAGGCTTGAGGTAAAAATTGGAATTTGCAGACAGAATGTTGCAAGCATTTGTCATCCATCCATGATTCTACACTTAATTTCTTATACCTGCCTGTTGTGGTGGTGAGCTGTGGGGGTTTGGACAGGACTGGACATTTGATCAAAATGCAACAGAACAGCACACAAGGAGACATGTTAAGCTAATGAAAAAGTAGCCATTTCATTGTTCTATTGTGGGAGGAAGCTGGAGTACCTGGAGAGAGACGGTATTTTCAGTCCAAGCTGTTTTTATGGTTTTCTTTCCCTCTCCCAGTGCAACAGTTAGCCCAAAGCAGTGGGAGAACATCTCAGACCTCAACATAGCCAGGGCCGAGCAGCAGAAGAATAACTCTTTGTCCCTGCGCGCTCTGGTGGAGTCTCTGCTGGCGCAGTCGGCTGACGACATGCAGAAGCAGTTCAGGGCTACTAATGAAGCCTTGCAGCTCAACATTCAGCTGATCAAGGCTGCCAAGACCCAACTGGAAGATAAACTTCCCAAGGTAGGGCTCAATGTGCGGTTTATTTAAGGAAGATACAAAGAGATGTTACAATACAGAGAGATTTATGTTCTTCGTTTGTACCCTGAACAAACGAGGAACATAAATCTATGACATGGCCAAAACAATGCCGATGTCACTAACGGTGTTTTAATATGTATATCTTACGAAGAGAATAACTTCAAATTCCATGGATTTTCTAGTAAAGTTGTGTGGTCAATCAACTCAAAATAGTGTATCACTATATTCTGAATACAGTCTGATGTAGTCTGCTTCAGAAGTTGGTAATAAAACAGCTTCATGGCATTTAAGATACACAACAGACGTGTCAGGGAGAGAAAGTTGTGGGCAAGTTAGAAGAGAAAGGTTTAGTCACAAACAGTATTCCAAGATTAGAAGGAGAGTATGGCATGTCGCTCTTCACCAAAATTGACAAGGTGTGCATTAATCAGAACAGCAGCCAAGAGAACCGTGGTAACTCTGGAGCAGCTGCAGAGATGCACAACTACTGGTATAGCATGTAATAGGACAACTATTAGTTGTGCAATCCCCAAATTTATCAAATTGAAAGTCACTGTTGAAAGGGATCAAAGCAAATATGTGCAACGAGGTGATCTGGTTGGGGGGATGTTAGAATGGCTCAGTCAAAGTCCATACAAAAACCTAAACTAGAATCTATGGCTTCACTTGAAAACCACTCCTCATCCAAAACTTTTAGTCTTTAGATGCGTAGATCTGGTGGAGACATACCACCAAATACACGCAGCTATAAGGACAGTAAATGGATAAGGTGTGGACTCACAAGAGCATGGAGGGGGCAGAAACATTTCTGTTCTTTGTCTGTAACCAGACAAAGGAAATGCATACTTTTGTTTTGTTTTAGAATAATCCATAACTGCCTAACAGTTAGCAGAGCTGTAGGACAGTTATGGATTGTTGTTTATCACCAGAAACAAAAGAGAATTATTAACAAAATCAATAAAAACATATCAACAATAAGATGAAATCAAGAAGTGATAATGAGTTATAGTAAGTAAATGTGCTCCGTATTCAAAGGAATACAGAGCACATTTGCTTGCTCCGATACTGTCTCTGCAACTTGCTTTAGATTTATTGTCTAATTTTGTATCTTTGAGACTGCAGGGATTGATGGTTATTATTATGGGTGCTTCTCTCTAGGTCATTTGTGAGATTAGCAACCTTCAGAGGATCAGAGAGGATCTGCTAGCAGCCATCGCAGAGAATGAACAGTTCTTGAGTTTGGCCCAGGCCCGGCTCCTTCTGCGCAAAGAGAGGCCTGGCAAAGAGCAGTGTCTCGACGCACCCCAGATCCAGCTCCTTGCCGAGGTTGAGCAGCTCAACCTTCACATCACCAAGTGAGTCCTGCAATATGATACATGTTGATTGATGTTGTTTGTGTGCTTCCATTTGCTTCTGAAAACAACCCAAGTGCTTAGAAAAACACCCAGCCATTTTCAGCAATAAGTTCATGTTTTTTGGTGTGTGGAAAATGAGCCATTTCAAAAACCTTTTGAGCTTAAAAACCCAAGTGCCAGCATGTTTGGTCAGCTGGTTTTACTGCTGCATGTGCCCTGTAATGACTAATAGAAAAGACGTGTGTTTTGTTGTTCACTTACCATCCAGAAACCCCTTGCTGCATTCTTTTTGTGGTTGGTTGTGCAGGAGGCTCTACTTCTGCTTTTCAAATTTGTATAGTTGCATATTTGTGTGTCTGATTGCAGGCATTTTCACAAGCGAGTGTAAACATTGAGTTGGGATTGTGGCCAGCAACAGCTTATTTGGATTTAAAGTAATAAGAGACACTAAAACAGCTCATTCTGGAAGAAGCTCTAAATAGGCAGAAGTGACCAGACTGAAATTTCATTATCTGAGAAAGATTCTGTGCAAAAAGTGTAATGAACATGTTTTGATCTAACCTGTTAAAGGAAGTATAACAGATCATCTTTAAAATGATTATCCTCACACTTTTGTCATAAATCAATATTATTTACAGATCCCTTTCCTGTCCTGCTGTACCTGATACTGTCATCTTTTAAGGATATTTCCTATTATTGCTATACAGATGATATCCAGTTCTTTTGTCTTCCAAATGAAGTTTTGAAACAGTACATCTTTACTATAGTAAATTAAAAGCTGCATGTCTGCAAGAATTTTTCTATAGTTGAATGAAGAAAAAACTTAAGTAATAATCTTGTTGGTTCCAGGAGTAGTAACTGTAAAGATAAAGCTTATCCTCCAGCCTCTTGGTTATTTGACTAAATCTTCATTTAGAAAGTTTAGGATAGCCTTCGACTCATGTTTTATATCTGAAAATCATGTCAAATCTCCGTTTCGACCCTGTTTCTACCATCTGCTAAATATTGCCAAGTAATGTCTGAATGGCTAAAATTTCTAGAGCTTTAAAGTGAGTGCTACAGGATTTAAAGAAATACCAAGCACATTTACCGGAATATTACTGGAAACCCACCGTCCCATTCCTAGTTTCATAGATGTTTTCAGAGTTCCTGTTCATAAGAATTGCACTTCAGAGCTCGTCATGACATGGGTGTTTGTTTTTTATTCTGTTCTGTCAGACTACGTGAGGAACTGGCTCTGTCTGAGGAGGAGCAGAGGGCGCTGGTTCGCTGCCAGCTGGAGCTGCAGGAAAACATCGAGATCAAAGCCAACTCTCTCTACATTGATGAGGTCGTCTGCATGCAGCTTAGGGAGCCCGTCGTCATTTGCCACGTCTGACCAATCAGCAGCAAATCTTCATGTGTAAATGTTATGGATACATACAGGCATGTAAAATATGTCAGAAAATAAATACAGTTATGTAAAATACCAATTTTCTTTACTCTGTGACTAAAACTTTTCTCGTTTAAAATCACTTACTAAAGCTTTTATGTCGGCACACTGCCTGGCAAAACTAATTATACCTTTTGAACTTTTTCTGTTCAAAAGAACAGAAAAAGTTCTTTTGAACACACAAAGTGTGTTTGAGACACTTTTGTGTCTCAAACACAAAAGTTTGAGACTTTTGTGTGAGACACCAACACCAAAGTAGGGGATTATTGTGAAGTGGAAGGAAGGTGATGCATGGTTTGACATTCTGACTCATCAATAAACTTTTTTGGACTTTCAGTTGCCAGGACAACTAAAAGGTGTCATGGCAACAGATACCTGAGCTGTGGATCTTTGCATCTCCTCTAGTTACCATGAGCCTCGTGGCTGCTTTCTCAGACTAATCCTCTGTTTGAACGACTTAGTTCATTTCTCTTTCTATTCTCAAATGATGGATTGAACAAAGCTCTGTGAGGCGTTCAAAGCCTTTCAAATAGATTTATAAATGTCACAAAACAGATGGCTTATACTATGCCAAATTACACACTGGTGAACCCAATTTTTAGATTTTAATTTTTAGAAAATGTTTTAACAAAAGTTATAAACATGCAGAATTTCCCTTCCAAATCACTACTTTGATTTGGACTCTAATAAAAAACACTGGTGGAGGACACTGTAAATCTAATGAGACAAGACTTTTTACAACTTTTTAATACATTGAGCAGAAATAGATAATAGATAAAACTGCAGTGAGTGTGTAAATATGACAGTAGGGTATGGAATGTGAACTACTGTAGTTTATGCTCCAAACACAAACTAAAAGACCAAAGTAGTTGACTTTTTAAAAGACAATATTTTAAGAAATGACATAATGAAAGTACACAAAATTCACAATAATGGATTGTTTTATTTGTAGTTTCGTATTCATGAAAAATATATCATGAAACCAAATAGTGTTTCTTCTGTCAGGATGAATTCACACTTTCCTTTGAATGTCAGGAGTTTAAACAAGAGGGAAGCTGATGTCTCTATGGCACTATTGCAAATACATTACAAAATTTGATTTCCCGGTTTTACAGGCTGCTAGAAAGTTTTGTTTTATTTTCCTAGTAATGTCAGAAGATTTGGAGGCATGAGTGTATGCTCTAGTTCAGGGGTGCCCAAGTCCAGTCCTCGAGAGCTACCATCCTGCAACTTTCAGATGCATCCCTGCTTCAACACACCTGAATCAAATAAATGGCTCGTTATCAGGCCTCTGTAGAACTGATCCCGGTCTGTTGGAGTAAGGATACTTCTAAAAATTGCAGGATGGTAGCTCTCGAGGATTGGACTTGGGCACCCCTGCTCTAGTTAATATATAAATCTTAAGCGTGCCACAAAACTGACACAAGTATTACTCGAACGTTGTGGCAATGACAAATCCCAGTACAGACATACTATTCAAAACATGGACACAACAGCATCGTCACTCATATGACTTGAAAATAAACAACATCCCATAAGAGATGATTCAGCTGAAAATAAAAATGACAAAACAAATGTAAACACACATTCTAAGATGGCAGTTGAGACAATGGATGGCCTTTGTGTTTGTCATTATTCTCAGGAGATCCATTCATAGGACTTCTCTGTCCTTAGCCCTCTCTGGCTTTCAAGACAACATTGACTCTGCATTTTGCCTACAACACAAAAAAGAAGAAAAACACTGTTATCAAAGGAAATATTTAGCATAAATTAAAAAAAAACCTGTGTGATTTAGGAATTTTACCTCATGCCATTTCAGTGTTGGGAGCGGCAGGGCCAGGTGACAGTGTGGGCAGGTGCTGATCTGGTCCTGGTCTCCAATGACCCATGGACCCTGTCTCCCTGCGTGTGATTGGGAAGTGGCTTTATAAGCACTTCTCAGCTGGTCTTGACTCTGCTGTTTGAATAAGTCATCTGCATCCTCCCACTTTTGTTCTTTGGTGTCAACCTCTTCATAGAGCTCTTGATAACACCTCAGCTGCTTGTGAGAAAGAAAGACAGACACAGATACGTGTCAAAGTGAATTCCTGAGACTATAAATCCTAATATTACTGTGGCGATGCAGGTCAGGATCAACAGATGACAAAACACAACATTTAAGACTAGAGTCTTATATCAGTCCACAATAAAATTCTGTTTTCTGAATTTCATGACTGCATAAATTAAGTGAAATTTATGTTTATTGAGTTATATTAACTCCATATATTTTCTACGGTAATATTATGTTTTGAATTTTACAGTATTAACTGTTGGTATTTTTCAATTTTTTTTTTTTTTTTTTTTTTTTACCATAAATTGTATTGATTATTTTTACAGTGTGGGATTAATAAAAGGTCTATTTAATACCTGCCCAAAGGTAAATTAGCCTCAATGGGAAAAAAAAAAAATCTGGTCAGATAAGAACTTTTTAGATGTGTGAAACATGGTAGTGGCAGTAGCATGCTGTGGTGACCAGGGATATTGAACCCAAAAGACTTGCAGCTGCAGTTGGAGCAAAGTGTGGTTCTACAAAGCACTGGCTCAGAGGGGCTTCATACAGATACATGCCACACTTTTCAGATATTTACCCGTTAAAAATAAAGTTAAATATTGCATCCTTCTCCTTCCACTTCACAATTACACATTACCTTGACGTTTATGACAATAATATGACAAAATATGAATTATGAACTGCATAATCCACATTAGATCAAACTGTGAATTGGACACAGTTTGGTCCAATTCACAATTTCTCAAGGAAATATAATGGAACATGTTTAACATACCTCATGACGGTCTCTCTCTTTTTCCAGAAATGATCTCCCACAGTATCTACAGCTCACTGTGTTCTCCACTGAGACAAAGAAGAAAAGCTCAGGTTAAGCAGGAGGGAAATATATTCTGGGCATTAAGTGAGTTCAGGGCTGAACTGGTCCATTTCAATACTTGTATTTAATGCACTGCTGAGAGTTTGAGTCGAGTCCTCTTCATCGGCAGCTGAGCAGGTTGAACTGTGCTCTGACTGGTCACTCAGTTTGACGTAGCGACCGCAGTCCTTGCAGAGCTCCGTGCGACTCCCACAGACCACACTGTGCTCCTCCAGCTGCTTCCACGGCACCTCCAGCTCACAGAACGTACACATCTGCAGACGCTCCGGACACTCCTCCGCCTGGAAGCAGAGCACAGTTGGAAAGATCCATTTGCTCTGTCGCACACGCTGATACATTTACTCTGTGTCATGATCTGACAGGAAATTGTCTTTTCAAATTACTCCCAGCAGTCTGCATGAGCTTTCTGATACTGGTGGCTAAGACCTGCGTCCAGTGAGATCATAATGAAGCGTAATAGTCCATCCATACAGACAAAGCTAACCCTTGAAAAATAATATCCAAGCAGTTCTTTCTGACTGATATTACACTACTTAACTACTTAAGTAGTTGAGGTTTACTTTTTATAAACTATATTTAGGAATAGCATAGTGAAGTATACTTGGCTTACACTGAAAAGCATAAAGAGAGTTCACTTAAATTGGTAAATTCTAGTCATTAACTGGGCTTTGAAGCAAAGTCCACCAGTTTTCAGTCAGTTAAAGTCAATGTGAGCCAAAAGGTTCATGTAGAATTAGAGATCTCAAAGATACAGCTGTTTTTTTTAACCATAGATTTTACTTTTGTTGCGATATCATCTATTTTCATTTCATTCCTGGCCCTAAACTTCTTTAACCTCAACTTTTTATAAATGTTTCAGTCCAAAGCAGCAAGACAGGATGTATTTGAACAAAACAAATGGATGTAGAAAGACATCAAGGTTGAGATGTGAGCTGTTCCTCCACATGACATTGTATTGAACCTTCTTATTAGTTCAAAAGAACTCACCTCATGATCCTCAAGGTGACACCGTTCAATCTTCTTGTTGCATTTGGAGCATTTCACCTTTAGATGGACAGAAATGGTTCGATAGGAAATAACTACATAAGCGTCATTCTGCAGGGAAAATTTTGGGAAAAAAACCCCAAAGTAGTGTAGTTTATACACCTAGGCGGATGATCACCTTGGTGTGCTGCTCCTCTCTGTGCTGGCTCAGCTGGTCTTTGGGGACAGCTTCATCACAGTCAGGACAGACACTCAAAAATCGTTTGCAGTGGGTCTCATGCAGAGGGAAGTTGGCCTCTGCCACCTCCTTGTGGCTAAAAGAAAAAAAAAAAGCACAAGCTCAGGAGAAAAAGACTTAGGGATAACTTTAAATTATTTTATGACCTGGTAAAGATTGAGAGTCTTTGAACCAGGAAGTTCTCTTATCAAGGACCGAAAGCTCCACAGGGTTATATCGTGTAAGCCTAAAAGTGGAGTCAGGAGTTATTGCAGTGTCACAACAACATGACTCCCTCTGATCAGAGGGGTAGAAATCATTTAAAACTTGAAAGTTAACTTATTGTTTACTCTGACCAGCTGTTTCACTGAACTACAGAAAAGTTACCCAGCGACTCCAGATATGTCATTTCAAACTTAGGCCACACAGAAGTGAAACCTTTCTTCTTGCACCTGCGCTCCTTTTAGCCCAACAATGCATTTAACTTTCAGAGCATTGAAAGTTAAATGCTTTCAAACATTTAACTTCATGTTGGGCTGAGATAAGATAAAAACGTGAACAACTGGTTCTAAAACCAAGGCGTCTACACCTCAAAGATCCGTATTGTATTCAGACTATTTATGTTGGTAATAAAACAAAACGTAAATCATTCATCGTTCAATGCAGTTCTGTGTCAGTTCTTACCATGTTTCACAGGTTCGGGTTGGTTCTGTGTTTTCCATCGACAGCTGTTGTTCAGAGTGGGAAGAACTGTCTTGAAATGTCAACGCAAAGTTCAATCACGTTTCTCCGAAACAGAAAGTGAAATCATCTGCTCCGTCAGGCTGCACGTACTCCGATTCACCAGCGGGAGGCGCTGAAGGCTCTTGAGTGGTGGTTTGTATTGACTGCTGTATTTACTCACATATTAACGTTTCAAATACCAAAAAGTCAAATACAGTTGCTGCTTCCGGCTTCACCAGGTGTGACGAAAGAAACAGAAGCACAGAGTTTCTAGCAGACGCCCTTTATGACCAATAATAACTTGTTTTTTTTAAAACAAGAATCAATTCACCAGAATCTATTCTTTAGTTATGGGGAAATTATGGCTGCTTATTAGAACATCACCTGCTAAAATTCTTGAAGCAAAACTGAAACGGTTTCAGTAATCAGTTTTGTTTTTGTCCAAAGTAAAAACTCAACAGCTGAATACATTCTCACATCTAAAAAGAAAGCTTTTTAGCTCTAGTGTTTCTTTCTTTTTATCTCTGTCTTAGGTTTTGTGAGTTGAGTAGAAAGATTTTGGGTTTGCTGTTGCACGTTCCTTTTGGCTTCTCTTTTTTGATGAAAAGAATCCTCATGAAACAGTATGAGAGAAAACTGAATGTACATTTTAAAGCAGCAGGTTTCTCAGATAAAATGGGTTGTAATTAATTTTTTTTTCTTGTTTAAAATTAAATTCCTGATTTAAAAGAAACAGTTAATGTCATCTGACTCTGCTGCAAACCAGTTGCTGAGAGGATATTCTCAAATCCAGACATCATCTGTCCTAAAATGTGTTATTGAGTTATAATGGTGCATAATATTCCACAATTCAGTTTAATTAGAGAGCATTATTTCATACGTTGTCATAATCCATCTCCTCACAGTACAATGCAGTCAAACTGAGCTGATTATAAAATAGGAGCTGGTGTCAAAGGTCACCGTCCGTTCATTGGTGGTTATAGTGATGTGGAGAAATTCATACAAGAACGCAAAAACAAAGCACACTTTATATCTGCATTTATTTGGTTATGGGCTCCAACCTATGAACTACAAAATTATAAACAAGAGGATTTTAGATTTACGTTCAGTTCTGATGAAAAAAGACAAGGTAGCAATAGTCCCGGTTAAAGTCATCAGGTTTCCTCTTTGTATGAAATACCACTTCAAAAGGATGGCACACTTTACCTGCTTCTGGGAGCATCAGATCATTTCTAATTCTGCACACTTGTTTTTTTTAGGGAAATATGAGAAATTTTAGAATCAAAATGAGAAAAATCCCTGCAATTCTTTTCTAGATCAACCAGCTTCCTAAATCTCAATTTCTCGACTATTTTCCAGAAGATCTGAGATGCATGTTCCCATAGGTAAACGTTTTTAATTGGAGCCTGAACAGAAATCAGTCATGTTTCCATTTTAACACAAGCATAAAGAAACAACGCAGGTGTTTTATCCTGGTTAAGAAAATGACAGTGATTTTAGATTGAAATTATGCCACCAAACACTGTTCTGCAAACCTAATCTTCTATACTGGGTCTCTTATTTGTAGGGAATCATTTGCTGAGTGATTTACACATCAGTGTAAATATGCACGCCTCCACAAAATCTATTAAAAATCCATAGTGCTGACTGAGCTGCTTATTTCTGATGCAGTACACAGATCACTGGAGACAGGAAGATTAAATACTTTTTACCAACTTTTGCTTTGTTTACAATACATGGTAAAAAAAAAATGCTGTTTTTATGTGGCATCGTGTGACAAATAAAAAATAACTAAATGTTTATACTATTGCAAATTGTGTCGCCTTATCTTTGTGCTCACACACTTAACTGTTACAGAATGGCATATTTGAAATTCTATTTATTTATTAAAAGTGATGACATTTACTGATTATCAATGCAATTGTTTTGAATACTGCGTCTGTGCTGCCACTGGAAAGCCTGGGCTTAAAGGAAAGATGTTACACAGCGACAGTAAGAACAAGTTTATGACGTTACTGCTATGTTATTGTCTTTAATGAATACTCTGATAACTTTGCTCAAACAGAATCATTTTTAATCCAGAAGAGTATGAAATATGTTGTCATTCTTAAAGAACAACCACTTTATGCAATTTTTTTTAGTTTTATAACAAGGCGAAGCATAAGACCTTTGCAAGAAGAGGATGAATACATTTTCTTCTGTGGGATGCTATTTTTGTAGAAACTATATTAAAAACACGTAGATTCCAACCTAATGATAAGAAAAATAGATCTAAAAAAATATGTGTATCTGTTCAACGAATAAAACTGCTAAAACTTGCATTTATTATGTTATTTATGTTTAAAGATATTCACTGGATCTTTGGACATTTCACAATTATTCTTAACTACATGGGTTAAAATAATAACCCATGTAGTTAAACCCAATTTGCTTATGTAATGTTGGAAAAAAAAAAAAATATATATATATATATATATATATATATATATATATATATATATGTTCTTGTGGTGTAACAACTTATGCAAGGCTTTGTATGTTGTATAGGACAACATCCTAGCTTGTACAGATTGTGTTGTATTGATTTCTGGCAGGTTTTGCACGTCATAAACAACCCAGAGGCAGAGTTGGAGAGGTGAACTTTCAATGCCCGACAATGTTAAGCCAAGTGTTTTAGTTCACATCACTCTGAGCTTGAGAACCTGGATGAAAACGCAGTTATTTAACCACCTGGACACGGTGAGTGAGCCTTTGCCTTTATTAGAACATTAAACAGCGACCAACAGAGAGGGAAGGAGAGCAGCCACACGTGGGTTAGCAGCTGTACACTGAGGCGCATGTGTGATCCTCCATGTTAATCGATCAGAATTTAACGCTGCTCTGGATGGAAACATGCACTCACTTCAACGACCGTTACATCTGATATACGTCTTCACTGTACAAAGAGTCTAATCATTCATCTGTTTTGGCATTAACAAATTCTTCATAGAAAAGTAACACTGTGTACAAATGTATGATTCTTTATAGTTACAGTTGGACTTTATTGTACAGGGTGTTGGGTTTTGTGATGAGTTACATGTAACATGTGACCTCCAATAGATCTTCTGTTTTGGCAGCAAGGACTGAAGAGACGATTTCTCTCTTTGGTGCTGCGTGTTGCTACAAATCCTGAGAAAAGTACTCAGCGTGAGTCAACAGGTTTAAAAAAAAATCTTACAAACACTCACAGTAACGAAAGACCAATGCAGGCAAACATTAATTACAACAGTCGAGACGAGCTGGACACTGACCATTGCTCTCCGTGGCCACAAGAGGGCAGCGATGCAACACATTAAATTCCAACTCCAGAGCGAGAAAACGCAAATGTTTTCTAAAAACTGCAGGTTCCTGACTCCAGGGCCTTGCAATCCGCATTATGTCATTTTCTGTTGTTGTGTTGGAAAGGATAAATCCGTCCAAAGTACTTCAGTACATTCACATACAAATATAAAATAAGAACATCTTTTTTTTATTTTTTTTTTTAACTGTTGTTAAATTAGACTAACCTTTTTCTGGTTAGATCAGTTATGGTTACCAGAATTATTATTTATATTTGCTAAAAACTATAATTATTAAAAAAAACAACTTTAAAATGAAAGGTTTGCATGAATTTGTTTAGTATCTGGTGGACTTGCCTTTAAACTGTTTTAGGGTTTCTTCCCATGAGGCTCTCACAATAGTTTGGTGGAATTTCAGCCAATTTTATTATTACTTATTTACCCAAACACGTTTTTTTTTTTTTAACTCTGTCTGCAAATCCACTGAAATCAGGCATTTCTACTGGCCACTCCAAAACTTAAACTTTAATGTTCTTTGTAACTAATTGTCAGTATAAAATTAGTTACAATGTCAATTTGAAAAATCCATTTGCTACCAAATTTTAACTTTCAGGCTGAGGTTTTGAGATGTTGCTTTAATATTTACTCATGATGTTCTTTCTACAAAATGCCATCAATTGTGTGAAGTGCACTTGTCTCAATACACACAACATGATGCTGCCACCTCTGTGGTACACAGTTAGGATGGTTTCACTGGTCACAGGACTAAACACTAAAATCTTTGTCCTTCAGTCCATTTGCAAACTATAATCTTTTTTTTTTTTTTTTGAGTTGCTTCTGGAGAGGATTCTTCCTTACTCCCCATGCTGGTACAGGACTCATTTCACAGCAGATGACTCCTCTACAAGCTTCAGTCAGCATCTTTGCAAGGTTTGCTTTTTTCCTGGGGTCGATACAAACATTTTACACCAAACTACACTCATCTTTTGGACACAGAACCCGTCTCTTTCCTAAACAGCATGTTTATACTTATGCCTCCATTTAACTTGGATGACATCGTCTGGGTTTCTTCAAATTCTTTAATATCTTCCACGCTGTAGTGAATTGAAATAAGTCTGTTAATCCTAACTGATTCAAAACAGAAAAAGTTCAGTGAGCTCTAATACCATACAGTAAGAAAAACAAAACAAAACAAACGTGTACGCATCTTTTCATAGTGTATGTAAACATGTGTTTTCTCTGGAGGATAATAAAAATATGAATTTAGCCACAGCAAGGTTACTATGAGGTTTAATTTCCTGGCATGAGAGCAAACAATTTGTGAAGTGGAAATAGTAGTGAGCCTGAGAGTGACGCCTGCAGATGGATACTTCCTGATTGTTTGGCTGACACTAAGATGCTACAGATCCATATTCACTCTAAATTGACTATTGTTTCATTACATATGAAATAAGTCTTTTTCATACAAAAAAACCCCCAAACAAACAAGAAAACATAACGCCTAACCTGAAACACAACTCTATGAATCCTAAACATAATGTATGAGATATCTGCCAAATAGAAAAATAGATGATTTCAAAATAAATGTCAACATAGAAAAATATTTATAATCACATGATATTTGTACACAAGCTACAGTCACATGACTCATGCTTGGTGAGACCAGTGGTACGCAGTCACTGACGGTGATGATGATGTGGATCCATATGCAGAGGGTCTGAACACTGCTTCCTCCCTGATGAGCTTCGGGAACGTGTGATGTGTCTGACGAAACGGTGAGTTTTGTTTGGATCTTGAAAATGGAGGGTCACTGGGGTCACCAAACAGAGCACTTTTCCACAGGGTTCATCGGAGAACCCTTGGGACAGTTGAAAACACGGGCAAACTCATCAAACTGGGAAACGCTGCCAAGCACCCTGCAGGGGAAGCAAACAGGACAGAAAAAAAGAAGTTAAAAGTGATCCGGAATGTGTAAAATATCGCATTGTTCATGAATGTTTTATAGTAGAATTATTTTTCAAGACCAACATTTGATAAAAATGTCACCTGCAGTGCTCTGGTGCATGCTTGTCAGTGAGCAGCTGCAGATAGATGGACTGAGATCTTCTCTTCATGCACCAGTTCTGACAGAAAAAAACAACAACACAACAGTGGCTTGAAGGGTTTATATCACTTTGGAGCTGGAAAACCTAAACACAGTGAAAATATGAAAGACTTTTAAATCACAGTCTACCTTTAGAATGATTTTTCTAAATAGTAACTTTAAAAACCATACTAAGATGACAAACTGGCTGTCAACAGAGAACAAGCTGTTTCCTTGATTAAAAAAAAAAAAAACTTTTTTAAAGACATCTCAAAAAAATCTATGTGGCAATTCAGAAAAGGGATGAACTGAGAACTCTAAGGGGTAGACCTTTTGCTCATAGAATATTAAAAAACTGGAATCAGGCAACTAAAAGAAAAAAAACAAAAAAAACCGGAGATTTTTCTTTAGCCTCGTGTGGCCATAGTGTGATGCACTGATGTCAAAGGTCAGTGCTCCAAACATCATGTCATCACTCTTCCAACAGCTTTTGTGTCGTTTGTATTTTACGAGCTTTATTTCTTTTTATTTGTGATCATGTAAAATAAATATACAGATCAAGAGCTACAGGCTGGAACAGAATTGAAATGAAAAAGCTATAAAAGCATGTAATTACAGTTAGTTTTATTGCATTGACCTTATGAGCATCCCTGTACCACAATAAATTAGAAAAAATACCAGAGCTTCTGCATCTGTAGTTCTGGTCACTTTATGCTTTTCTTGATATTTTCTGCTGTGCTTTTACTTAACCACTTTTTATGGTGTTTTAAACAGCTTTTCTGCAATCGTGATAAATTCTTATGCCTTTTAAAGATCAGTGGATGATGTTTTTTAAAGGCAGGACTCGAGCAAAAGTTGACGAGAGAAGTGTTCATACATGGCCAAAAGTTAAGGCAATCACATGTGAAGAGTGGCTAGATGTACATCAACACATGGAAAATTGATTTCTCAGCTTGGAATAACTAAGAAAGACATCAATTAAAGATTGAAACTCTGCAGGAAGTTTAAATCTTCCTGGTTGTGAGGCAGTCTGACACAATGCTGAATGAATAGTGGGATAAAGACGCCCAGCAGGGCAGACCAGAAACAATCCAGAAGCAATTAGGTGATTATCTTGAGCATCTTCCAGCATAATGAAGCACCACGATGAGAAACACACTTCAGACCCACAGCCAAGTAAGGCCTTAGGTCTGACTTGAAGCTGGAAGATAAGTCAAAGTCAACAAATTGTGATCAACTTTAAAGTGCATCTTTATGGTTCTTTTACATGTACAGGTAAAGTTTTTATGTTTAGAAATTTCAGAGTGGGATCATGGTACTGTAACATAAAAAAATAGTTTAAACGTTTCTTTTCTTTTTCTAATACTTTCTAATTTTCCTCCGTGTACAGAAATGTTGATATTAGTGACTATCAAACAAAGTCGCCGAGCGGCTGAGTAGGGGAGTTGGTTGTTGACGCGCAAGCTGATCAAAACGTAAATCCAAGCTGCAGTTGCAACAATTTTATTGTCCATATCCAAGCAAAACAGTGTTCAAAAGCAGCATAAAAACGGATCCGTAGAATCAAACAGTGATCAAAGACAAAACATAGCGGTCAGCAAAAGTAGACCTCCCCATCACCCACTCACTGAAGTCACCAAGTGAGAAACAGATGATCTATAATCACTAATAACACCACGTGATCCCGTGCTACACCTATCCACAACAGTAGACATGAAAAAATTGATCTAATACAGCTTTCTCTGGTTCACGGTTTTCTCTTGTTGATGCGGTCGAACGCTGAGCAACTGTGGTTTGACTTTTTCCTTAGGTGACGACAAATCAAATGGAATAAAACTCTGCTATTTGTTTGTGATTAATACTTTTAAGGTCCTCATGTTGTGATGATTACATTTCTCTTAACTTATTTTGGTTTTGCAGCTACACCTAATAAGTCTTATGTTTATAAGACACGTGTGTCGGCCTGCTGTGCAGGTTGGAGGGTCGGATTCATTTTGTTCGAGGTGATTGCATCGCCTCAAGCGTTTTTATTCACACTCGCATATGACATTTCAAATGAATGTAAGCACATATTCCTGATTTTCATAACACTTCCCCCAGGGCAGGAGTTTTAAAAAATGAGCCTAAACACACCACGTTGCATTCTTAAGTGTTTTCAGATTCCGCCTCGGTTACATTAAGCTATGAATTTCAATGAAACCACTGAATTTCAATGATGACACGTAATACTTAAAAGGATCAGGGGTGGTCTAGCGCTCGGAGACACCGTGCTGTCATCAAGGCTCTGCTGATTTAATCCCTCTAATACTTAATGTATCTATCAGCTAATGCTGGTGTGTGACACCTACAACCTGTCCTCTACCTTCCAGCTCCAGCTGAGAGTGGCACCTGATATGATTTGATATGTAAATGTAAAGAAAAACAGAGCCGCAGACAAACTTCCTCACCTGTGCAAAGGCTATGAAGAGCAGCTGTTCGTGGGTGTATTTTAGCTTAGGGAGGGGCCTCTCTGGACCGTTATCCCGCACCCATTTTTGATATGCCTGCAAGGAGAAGTGAAGGGATAATGACTGACAGGAAATAGAAAAACAAATAACCTTCGAGTTAGATGTTAGGATGTTTCTCACTTTTCAAAGGAAAGTAAGAAAATGGATGTAGCAGAAAACATTCAAGCAGGCTACAAAATACATACTAATTTATTTTACTGTGATTTTATATGATGAATCTGCACAAAGTAGTGCAGAATTGTGAATAGAAAAGCGTGAGATGTATTTGTATCCTGTTTGCTGTCTCATCCACACGGTTTTTAGAAAACCACAAAGAGGGTTTTTCCCCCTAACTATTGCTTTTTTCTTACCACTCTTCCATCTCCGCAACCTTTTCCCTGACCTGTTTATTGTGTACGAAAATCTTCATGATGCCATTTGCTCACCAATGTACTCTAACAAACAAGTGAGATCCATTAATTAGTCACAAGGAATCACATTTAGCTTATCCAACTTAATTTATTCTGATTATTAAGTTGTCAAGTTAAGCAAACACAAATAAAGTAGTTTTGACAAATTACGACTTGTGATCATTTACCACATTTTTTTTTAAGTTGGAGGCGCATTCTCTCTTCACAGCATTTAAGCTGAGATTAAATCCTTCAAAAGTGGAATTGATTTAGGAACTAGGTAACTTCTGCAGACAACTGGTATTGCTGAATTTTATTTAGAGGTGTCAAAGTAATTAAAAATGAATAAAAATGCATCCCATTCTTCTGAAAAATCTGTATTTCCTTCACAATTATGTGCCACTCTGTTTATCTGTCACATAAAATCACAAAGAGCGACATAAGAGTTTATGATATTAATGGAAAAAGAGGTATGAATGTTTTTTGCACTGCACCGCATGTGAATTATGTAACTGTAGGGGGATTAACTTTTGTTTACCAGTATTAAATACTCCTCAGTTCAGTGGAGACCTGATATTCTCAGAGAATTATACAAGATCCACATTTCTCTTTCTAAGGAAATAAAAATATTGAAGGAATGAAATTGAACTAAATCAGATGTTTTATCTCGAGTCTAGTGCAGTTCAGCCTTTCCTCATTTAATGAAACAAACTAGGGTGGTTCATAAAGAATAATTCAATCCAAACGCAGGTTTTTACTTACATAGTACGATAATTTTAGTCCTCCCATGTCGGCTATGTTCTCTCCTAATGTCAGGCGGCCATTCACCTGCACACACAGGAAGGTCAGAAGATTAATAAACAGTAAAAAGGACTGTAATATCAAGTTCACTGCGACCAGGAGATCTGTGCAACAAAACACCGGTAAGTGCTCCAGTGGGGCTTGCAGTTTTGTGTGACTCACGTCAAAGGTCACTTTGACTCTACATGTCAAACCTTCATGCTGTGTATAATGGAGTCAAGTTCACGTAGCTACACCTGGAAGCAGGATGAAACAGAGAGCAGATGTTTTTGTTTTGATTTTGTAATTTTAAAACGATGCAATAAATTGGACATTGCTCTTTTGTTAAGTGTCATCATATTAGTTCTTGGACAAATATTGTGATTTCTTGGAACCACTTCCTGTTTTATTCCCTAAGCTAACACTTGTTAGCTAGTTTTGACTTCATGCAGTTGTGGCTAAAATGCTTGGCAGTGGCACTAATGTTGTTTTGCCAGTTTTGTACAATTTTGTTTTAGATTTATAAGATGAATGCATTTCAAATCATTCTAAGTCAGAGATTTATTTAAAAACATTAAAAAAAAAACACATTACCCTGGTGAAAAATAGTGAGCTAACTATTTACTTGAATTTAATCAAAAGCAGAAATGTAGCTGTAAGACAGTCCAGCTGAGTTCAATTTATCAAACTAATCACTGGTAGATTGCTATAAAAAGAACAGATGTCCTTAAAGCATCATCAGCATCTTCAGTTAGAAATGGGGCAGCGCTGTTGCCTAGCAGCAAAAAGATCCTGGGTTCACGTCGCAGAACTGCCCATGGTCTGCACTTTCTCTCACGCGTTGACAGCTGGAGACATTCCTAAGTAGGAATGAGCAGCTGATGATAATGATAGTTGTTTACAATAGTAACCTTTAAAGAAAAATGTTAAGCCTTCACCACTTCACACAAAAGCTCTCACATATAAAGAAAATGCTGCTACGAATTTAACACGTGACAGAACTTTGTCAAGATGATCAAGAAGTGGAGCAACAACGAAAAAAAAACAAAACATTTCTTCCAGACGTCCCCACTACGACAGTGTGTTCCCACCAGAGCAGAGCTTGTTCAGAATAGTCTGAACAGAAACTGAAATGAAGGCTTTCAGATAGTTGTCTTGTTTACAACAAGGCAGCATAAACCATGTTATGTCCAAGAAAAACATGAAGAATGGAGTGAAACCCTGTGAGACGTACAAAGATGGACAAATCCTTTCTAAATGGGATTTTTGAATATTTACGTATTTTATAGTGGGAACTTGCCTGCATTTGTATAGTACTTAATCAAGTCAGATTGCAGACTGACAGAAGTGAGGCTGCCGTGCAACCGGCGTCGAGTCCTCTGACCAGTGCTCTTCATCATGTTGAATTCAATTCAATGTGAAGTATGTCAGATCAGTCTGATTCAGTTTAGTTAAACTGTAATGAAATGCAGCTGAATTCAGTTAATTAAAAAAATTAAATTAGTAAAAAACTGTCCTTTGAACCAGCAGATTGGCTCAAATCCTGAGAATTAATATAATGTAGTGATGTCTGAATGTTTTCCAACATGACAGAACATGGTGTCACAAGAAAAAAGTGATAACTAAGAAGCTCAAATAAAACTGTTATTTACCGATACCTGTTATTTAAATATGATATATGTTCAAACAAACTGTGGTTTTTCCTTTAAAATATTTTGCTAAAACTTAGGACAGAATTCAAATAAAGATTATTGGTGTCTAAAAAGTACTTTAATAGCATTAACACGATAAAGAAAGCCAACAGAAAAACAAAACTAATCTGTGTGTGTTGTTTTCTAAATAAAAAAAATTGTCATGAGAGCAAATTGAAGCAAAATAATTTTTACTGTAGAGTTGAGAAAATGCAATACAAAAATAGTGTAAAATTTAAAGAGGGAATCTGAAACTACAGTATGAATCTTATCATGTTAGTACTGATTGCATACTGATATAGACTCGGTATCAATATTATACTGTAATTTGACTGTTTGCATAATTTTGTTGCTGATAAAACACTTTAAACTTCTGAAATGAACATCTTTATCATCTAAAATATTGAAAAACATCTAAAATTACTGAAGCCACAGAATAAGTTCAAGCCGTTTGTCCACCAGAATGCTGTTAACTCTGCACCTCTAACAAATGAATGAAGTGAAACTCAGAACCGGGACGGTCGAATCAGTCGTATCACAAGTTTTAGTCGTATGTTGTGAGAGTCGCCTGCCTCCATTAAACAGGACAGAAATTAAGAATTTACAAGTTATTTCAACAAATAGAATCACTATATCTCAGTGAGATATGCACAAATATCAACTGTATTATAAAATAAAATCAAATGCATTTTCAGTCAGTGTTACTTGTGTTGTATGGATTAAAACCCACCTTCTGGTTATATACAGTGAAGTTATCGTAGAGCTTGACGATGCATTCGGCCTTTTTCTGGAACTTTCTGTAGGACTCCTGAGTCCACCACTGTTTGAGGTTGCCGTAGCGATCGTACTGGCCCCCTAGGGACATGAACCATTGCATCACTAAGATGAAGGGCAAAAGTGAGGGTGGATGTTGAATATTAGCATGAAGTCAGCATAATCTATAACTTTTTTCCACAGTCAAAGAGCTGCCAGACATGCTGTTGCTCCAGATTTTGGAGAACAAATTATACTGCAAGTTCCCCTTAGTTTGTTTGTAGATTAAACCCCTTTATACTGCAAGCATAAAATGCACCATCTTAAGAGGCTTATGTTGTTCAATTGATTGCTAGGTGAATAGCAGATATCGAATGAGCGTCATGGTAATTTTTGACTGGGATCAAAAGTTATAAGTAAATAATAAAGAAGCACAGTGAGGATGCAAAGTAAAAAAATGGCCAAAAAATAAATAAAATAACGTTTGTTTTATGCAATAAAATATGGACAAAGAGGTTTTCATTCTTACCCCAGTCATCATAACCGTGTGTCAGCTCATGGCCGATGATAGCTCCTATTCCTCCGTAGTTCAGGGATCTGGAAGCAGAATGGGAAAATGGAAAATTACTGAGATTCAAACTTAATCGAGCCGCTGTGCTCACAGTGGTAACTGTTGATGAACTTTACAGAGAGTTAGATTTAACTTTTTTAAATTTTGAGTCTGACATTATGAGTTCAGTTTGTCCTGATCTTATTTAACCAACACACAGACGTTCCTATGGTTCCAGCAGCCATCTTGTTTGAAGAACGGAGTGATCACATGGTTTTGTTGTCCTTGCATCACACCCTCATACACAGACACACACTGCCACATTATTATATTTATGACATTTCCAATTAGAAATCTAGTAAATAGAGCGGCACTTAGAAATAAAGTGTTTCAATGATTTCAATTGTTCTTTTAATAAAATCTATTGTTGTTTTTGAAAAGTTTGTATTTTGTAAGATTTGCTAGTTCAAACCCCCCTGATGTTATAACCTTGGTATTGAGCACTTTAAGTGTCTTATTGTGACAAATTAATCTAATGTAACTGACTGGTGGTGCAATGGGAATAATTTTATTGATAAATAATGCTGTAAGACATTTATCAATATTTACTAATAGCTATACTTTTTCCTTACACTTTTCTTAACGTTGCCCTCTAACAGGCATTTCCCCAACATACAATTAATATCCTATTGATTTTTCAAAGTTAATGCTATTTACATGACCTCTTTAAAGCTTCTGGCAAAAAAAGAAGCCATTTGACCGATTTAAAGTGTCTCATTGCTGTCAGTTACTTGGCTTTCTTTGCTTGTGTCCCCTTGTCCTCATTGGAAATTCTGCTTAGCCAAGCAGGATTAAAAAACTGAGCAAATGAGACCTTGCTTGAATCCATGTGTTCTGGATTTGTATTGAATACAAATCAAAGCAATGCCACCTTTTTATGCTTGCATTAATTAGAAAGGATCAAATATATGTTTCACAAGGAATGCACAAATCCATAGAGGGACTTGGAACATAAATCTTAATTTCCCTAGTTGTTGATTGGTAAAAAGAAAAAAAAAAATGGCACAAATCACGTAAGTTCCCAAAAGTTTCCAATGTCCTCCCCAAAAAGCCTCACACTGCCCCTCCCTCTCCCTGAACCCTGTGTGGAGCGGGAGAGGTGTGTGTGTGTGTGTGTGTGTGTGTGTGTGTGTGTGTGTGTGTTGTACATGCAGATCCAGAGAGCGATGAGAGGGCAGACTTAAGGCTATTCACATGGCTACATCTGAAAATGACTTTCTGACAGCTAGTCGATAAGCTGCCTCACACTGGGCCGACTCCCTTGCTAAACTAACAGGCTGTTTGAAGCTTCATTATGCTCAACATCAGTGCAGAGGTGTGAGTGTGTGTGAGAGTCTATATGGGAGGTTGAGGCTACTGCAGTAATAACTTTACGGTGACGTGTCTGTGTGTGTGTGTGTTGGTTCGGTCATTAATTAAAATCAATTCGCATGCATAGCTACCACTAGCAAAAGTAGTGGTGATAACCTCTAATGAAGACATAAAAATGTAAGGAAAAGCTGAATGCGCCAGTCACTAGGTCTAATTAGTTTAAGCTTGTGAGTATCTAGTTGTTCAGGAGAGTTGTAAAACTACAGGTGAGATAGTGTCGGTAAATTTCAGTCAAAATTAAAGCTAAAGTAGTTAACTTTTATAAACAATATGTTTTTGTTTTGTTTTTGTTTTTCATATTTGTTAAAACTGTCACTATGTTGTAACAGTAGAATAGGAGACAAAAGTCAAACTCCTCTGCTTCTTCCCTGTGGTCCTACTGCCATCTGTAGAAATGCACTGCTTGGTCAGGAACAACCAATCAGAACCAGGAGGAGGGTCTTAGTGCTGTCAGTCATTCTCATGTATGCACTGCTCACACCCTGCCCTTTGCTCACTGCTGTGCTACAGCCGTTAATGGGGCTAGTTAGCATGGCCAACAGTGATGGCAGATAAACAGTTTTACTGTAATGGTGAGTTGTTCGTCCACCATTAACATATTTAGCAGCGTGTACATGAGCATGATTGTATTTCTGGAGATGGCAATAGGATCACATGAAGAAGGCAGAAAAGGGTCGATTTTTTCTCAGATTTTATGTCTTATATTATATTGTCATCATGACATACTGACAGTATTCATAAATATTTTAAAAAAACATAATTTTCTGAAATAAAAGTTACCTACTGCAGCTTTAAAGGTATTACATTTGGAGCAGGGTTTTCTTTCTTGGTCAGCACACTCAGTTTATGCTGCAGTAAAAGTAGAATCACTAGTTTCTCATCCATTTTAGCATCGCTGATGATCTTGGTGCATCTGCACATTTCTTAGACGCTGCATCAGCTATTTTATTCTGTACAGTCCTTCATACACTGCATGTGTGATCTTACTGTACAGTCTTTGTAGGATTGCTTCATTTAAAATGTGTATGTGTTCTTTAGTCTGTCTTTCACTTTGCTGCTTGCACACCTGAATGTCCTCTCTGAGTGACAAATAGACGATAATTCGACTCTATTCTGTGCTATCTGCTTATAATGACGATACGTTAACCTCTGAACATTACAAATTGTTGTAGCCAATATTTCTGTTACTGTAATTCCTTAGCATTTTATTAGAAAAATCTCATCTGATAGCGAGACTCAAGTGAGAGCGTTAGATCAGGCAGCGACAGACAGGGAAGTGATCTTCTTTCATGCACCGTCAAATTACTCGACGGACTTAAATTTAGGAGACGACCTTTCAATGACACCTGTTCCATTAGCAGTGGCTTGTTCAGTAATTGAGCTCTTGGTGGGTAGTTAAATTGGTTTAATCAGGTGTGCTGGGACATCAGGAGAAGCAGAGGGTTTCCAGACTAACGCGGGTTTTAACGACCTCTGCTGCAGCTGCGGAGCGGCTGTGGGTTCTCTGTGGAGAGGCAGTGGGGATACTCACTGTGGAAATTCAGGATTGTAGAGGGTGGGCTGCAGGATGCCAGCAGGAAAAACTGTGAGACAGATAGAAAAAGGTGACATGAGAGAGTTACAAGTGTTTAGAAATTACTCACTCAATAATGAAAAGAAGACGGGGATAATTTGCTCAGGTCAGAACATGAATGAGGTGGTAAGAATACAAAAATTAACAAGAGATGTTTATTTTAATGTTCCCAAAAAGCAAAACTAAAGAAATCCATCTATCCATGAATATCTTTTGGATTAAAGAAAATGTATATTTAATGTGATGCAGTTCTGTGTTGCCTTTAAGCCATATGTGTTTTGCTTACACTTCTAATACATTGTCATACTATTGCACATCCGCCTTACATTTTAATGGCATAGGAAAAATGAATAGCCTTAGTAAATAACATTCCTAATGCATTAACTTCTAAACTCTGCTATTTACATAAGTTGATCTTCGTCTAATTCAGGGCGTCATGAATTTTTTTAAATATCAAAAACGTCCAAAACATGCGAGCCACCATTCTCACACACATATTTCATGTAACATAATGGAAATCCAAATATTTTTTCACTTTGCCTAGTGATGCAAAAGTGAACGTGATTGTTGGTGCTACATTCGGTTTATTTCAGTGACTGATTATCTGTAACTTTTATCAATCATTAGAATTTTACTTTTAGAAGGTCAGCTTAGTATGCATAATTTTGAAAAATAAAAAACAACAAGAAGGTTAAGATATGGAAAAGTAAAATATGCCTTTCTGATTCAGTTGAACAAAATATATTCCACACCATTGAACCAGACATGCACAGACTATTCCAACTAGGAGTACATTAAAAACCACGTAACTACTTCAAAGATGAGAACTTGGTGTTTCCCAAAATCCGTTTCATTTTCTCATGTTCAAATATAGAGGTTTTAATCTGCCAGCATACATGGCAAGATAAGAAAAGGTGCTACAGCAGCTTATAGTAGAGCTATCTTCAAAACCGTTCTGGTACTACACCTGGAAGTTATTTTTTCAAAAACGCCCTGCAAAGGTTCACATTGAGAGGCAGAAATCTGTGATACAGCAACAACTTTTGAGAAAGCAGAAATCCTTAGTCTTAAAATCAAACTTGACTACACTTGTAAAAACTGTGAACACAAGGAAGGAAAATGAAAAAAATGTGGATAACTTGAGAGGAGTAAGAGCTTATCTACTTAGAAAAAAAATATTCCAGTGGACTCTGATGACTGCGTTTGTCAAACTCCTTCTGTCCCCCAGCATCAATCTGTGAGCACGCCATTGATTTTCCTGGAAGAGATTGAATCCTTCAGGCAGACACAGACGGCGGACCGATCCTGGGAGACGATGAAGAGTGAAGGAAGGGGTGATAGCGCTAGGCTAGATTTGTTAAAGCTCAGGAAGGTGATACTGCTTGTTTTTCCTTCAGGGGTGCATTAAACATCCAACTGTTGTAGAAAGGGAGGAATGAGGGGGATTACAGTATGGGGAGATTTACATGTTTTGTTGTTTTGTTCCTCCAGAAGTCATTGTGTTTGACTTGCTGTAAACAGACAGCAACACGGAGTAATTGTCTGTGACTAAACACAGGAAGGGTTCCCTTGTGTGTGTGTGCGCTTGTTTGTGGCAGAATCTGGCACTTGTATGGCCGTGAACGACGAAAAGTCATGCACTCACCCATTTGATTCTTGTTAGGCAGGTAGTAGGCATTAAGAGCCTGCGGGGGGAGAAGCCACCTGAGGAAAAAAAAAAATTGGACAAAAAAGGTTTTAGAGACAAGATCCCCTCACACTCTATCCACTCCAAACACACCAAACAGAATCACAAACACAGCTGCCTTTATCCCTCCAAACCCCCTGTTGGGATATCCACTCTGTAACATTCCACAGCTGACGTGCCTCTGTGCATACAAAAACATGGATGGTTCCTTTATGGTAATCCACTTAAAGCCAGTAAAATCGATTGGCATAGATCCCCCAAATGACTAACTCCGACAGACTAAGATGCCCTTGTTCCAGCTAAAGGAGTGATGGCTCTGCATGGACTGAGGAGAGATGGTGGAGAAGCGACAAGACAGACGATTTCTGTCTTTATTTAACACCGACAAAACCTAGTGAGTGATAGAACGTCCACTTTTTGGTGATAAAGAGGGCGTATGCGAGTGTGGGCTAACGATACCGTTGTGTCAAGCATGCTGGAATACTAATGTGCCTGTAATGTGTTGTCATAACAGAAATGCACTCAATCCAAGCCGAGCAGGGCTGTATTTTAGAAAAATGAACCGTATGTCCCACAGCACTCTTCTGCTGCCTGGCTGCTACAGATAAGTACGTCAAATGGATTTTCTGCAGCTGTTTATGATGATTTAGGATCTGTGTGTTTAATTTAGAGGTACATCAGCAAACATGGCAATAGAGAGATTTCTGGGAACGCATGTTAGGCATGTTGGACACATGAGAGTCACGCAGCAGGGGAAGGGATGCGTCTGAAACATGCAGGATAATGTTGGGAATCACAGAAATAAAAGGTGACACTCACGCCGTCTTGTCGACTTCTTCGTGTATTTTCCGGACAGACAGTTTGATGTTGAACTTAATGCTGTTGAGGATATTCTTGAAGTAGGTCTTCTTGTTCACATCAAACTGCAAAGCAAGAGCACAAGTTTATATATAGAAAATAAATAAATAAATAAATGAAGATTTTAACAGTTTCTTCTTGGAATAATTGCAATGAATTTCCACTGCATAATTACACTAAAAGAACATCTTAGATCTATTTTTATTTATTTATTTTTTTTGCATTAAGTTAGAAACTGGGATTTTAGTATAGATTTCCCATAGAAGAAAATGTTTTCATCCTCTGTTTTGCAAATAATTTATGCTTTTAATTATTATAAAACCCATACATTTAAGTAAAATATTATTTTTTTAAAATGGCAACACATTTCCTACAGTACATTTTAATCATATTCATAATTTCTCTCTTAAAAACATCATGTAACATTTACAGCGCTAAACAAGTTTTATTTAACCGAACTAAAGACAAACATGGCTCTTTGGATTGTAGTTAGCAGATTCCTGATCTAAGCAGTACTTTGAACTCGACCGATAAACCAGAATCTTTCCACTTTTAGCTTCTTCGGCTCTAACCAATGAATATCCGGTAGGAAACAGAAAAATCTTATCTTTTTCTTGTCTTTGAATGCACCATGTGATCCATTTTACAACACTCTTTGCTGTTACCAAGTGACACAAATGTAAACATTTAAAGTTTCAGGTGAAGTCAGAAGAAGCACACACATGTAGACAACATAATGAAAACTTGATTTTTGTCAAATGGTCTGTAGTTTATTGAGGAAGAGAGGGGAAATTAGAGAGAGCAAATATCAGAAAGACTAAGATTACAAAAAAAAAAAAAAAAAGAAAAATCACTTTGGCCGACTTCAGTGGCCCCTGACACGTTTTCGCATTTTCACTTATTTGCTAGGTAAATAAAAAAATTGAATTGCGATATAAGATACTTATAACTTTGCTTCATCAGAAACTATTCACAAATAAACTTAGCAACACACAGGAAAAATTTCACAGAATTTCTACTCCACATTTCTAGCAATGCTAGCCCTGCGATATCAAACGCTACCTCTTTTTTTTCTTTGATTGGGAATTTTTTAAAACCCTGTCTAATAGTATCTGGATCCCTTTACTGATTCTAATATAAATACTGATGACAACTCACAGCAGGAATGTTGGGGAAAAAAAGGAAAAAAAAACAGTAAGGCTAGACACTATCTCACTGTGAATCTGCCTCTTCACTTTGGACAGGCATCTCTCCAAGCTTGGTCTACCTGCTTAAATTGGAGAGGATTGATAAGGTGAAGCAGTTTTTTTTTTTTTTTTTTACTTAGACATTTCAAAACCTGTTGCAGATGTTGTAGGCAGTGCACACCAACTCACAAATTGAAATGTAGATGTCGAATTGAAGGGCTATGATAGTGATCGAGTCCCATGAGGGAACTCTATTTGCATAAACTTACTTAAAAACATGCTGCAGGATTTTTGGAGAGGAAACTACTCAGAAAAGTAACAGCAGAAACTCAGGTTTCTCTCCCCTAATAATATCTTCCCCAATGGATGGAAACTTTAGCGGATTTGTGTTGATGTGTCGTTAATAAAATTAGTAGAGCTAATTCTCAAGAAGAAGTACAATGTTTATAGGTAAAGTTAGATTCATGATATTAATTTGAAAATCAAAGCATTTTGCAGAGTTAGCCGGATGTGACACTGCAGGTTGGAGTTATTCATAACAAGTTGAAGGTAAAATATGAACATAATTACACTAAAACAGCTGAGATTGTATGCAATTGTTCTGTAGCTAATGTTTCCACAAGCTTCCATGCTTTTTGCTATTATACTCCATCATCAGGACCAATTCCTATAGCATAATTAGCTTTCAGAAAAGTTCTGCAATCTCTATATACTTGATTTACATCTACACATTCAAATCAACATTTGTTGACTCGAAACTACACTTTCACAGCAACAATTAATACTACTTATGCAGAGCGAGTATACCCTGTGCTGTAATTGGTCACTACTGTTGCTTCTAGCTAATATTTTGAGTGGAAACCTAGATGGTGTTCCCATGTCAAATTGTTATATCTCTGAGAAAATGTCCACTGTCTTGCAAAAATGATTTTCACAACTGCAAACCTTAAAATGCAATGTGAAAAATCAGAAAATATCCAGGTGTGTAAATATTTAAGTAGCTGCTGTGTCCTATCACTCTGAGTTTGCCTCTCCCAAGGACATTGTTCATTCTAGTTTTCACGTTTACCACTTTGATGCAGAATTTTAATGAAAATCCTTTATTTCTTTTGAGTTATTTGTCAGCCGTCCTTTATAAGCATATTGTTTGACAAGAGTTTTATTTGGACCTGTCTGAATCAACAATCCTTGTAACTGCTTCTTTATTATAAATGGTCCCAACACGATTCTGTAAATGATGGTGGATTTTTCTCTAACTGAGTTCAATCACGATGATGCATGACGGTTCCACCTGAAGATAAATCCTTCCAGTGCTCAAGAGACAGAGCTGGATGCAGGGAAGAATGACTGGAAGGGATGATGTGTGGGTACTGGATGACTGCATGGGCCAAAGTGAAATAGGAGGTCCATGACTCACCCCATATTCCTGATCAATGAGTTCATCTTTGAGCAAGAAGTCTGGGTATCCCGTCATCACCATCATGTGCTTGAGCTGCGAGATGGGAGAAAGAAAGAAACAAATCGGTCAAACAAAATTCCACATCCACTTTGCAGCAACTGAATATTCCACATATGTCCCTGGTTTCTGACCCGCTCTCTTGTGCGCATCAACTAATCAAGCAAACCCAGTCTAATAGGATTACAGAGAAGCTCTTTATATTCAGCATGCCCCTGTAAAAGGATTATAACTTTAGATTGTAAAAGTATTAGAAAGGATATCTTGCAGTGCAGACCCGAAATCAGCACCACAGAGAGATCCGGATTAGGCAATCCTCACTTCTCAATGTCAAGCCCTTGATGTATCCTATCACATTTCTATCTTACCAAGCAATCAGTCAGACTCGTTCAAAAGAAAAGAATCACAAAGAAGTTATTAAAACCTTTTCAAGTACTAATCGGATCTCACAGGAAGTCGTGTTTGTGATTTCAAGGTTCAGTTTAGGATTCAAACCTTTGCTCTGGCAGCCTCCTTGGTGGCCTCATCCATCCAGTCCAGTTCCTGCAGCCGAAGATCCAGGGCATGTTTTATGTCCTCCACCAGCTTCTGTACCTGGAGGGAAAATAGAGCTAGTTAGTAGCAGTAAGTTTATAATTAAAGTAATCATTTGTAGGAGAGTAGGAAGCAGGGACATCAATAGGATTGAAGTATAGGCTGAAGGAAGTCATACAAATAAACATTCTTGGCTATATATCATTGAAAATCATTTAAGGTCCTTATAGCTGGTCCAGTTTCCTTCTCCCCTACTACTGCTCTACTAAAGGCAACTGTACTGATGGCAGACTGGCCATCTGGCATATCGGGCATTTTCCCAGTGGGCTGAAATGCTATTAGGGCAGACATGGTCTGACCAACCCATCACCACTAGCCTAATAACACCAGGCTGGCCCAATCACATTAATAAATAAATACCAGGCCTTTTCCTTTTGGTCCTGTCTGCATAATGCATTCTGCTGAGAAAAAAAAAAAAAGTCAGTGCAACAGTCCACCGGCCAACCACTTCCTTGAAACATGTACTTGATACAGAGCTTTGTTTGCTACAGAACCTGTAAGATGGACTGCTTTCAGAAAACTCGTTGCTATCAAATGAGTCGACTAAAGCAAGCCAAACTTCGGTAAATATAATACAATGGGAAAATCCATCCATCCATTTTCTGTACACCCTTGTCCCTAGTTGGGTCGGGAGGAGTGCTGGCGCTCATCTCCAGCGAAGGTTTCGGGCGAGAGACAATGGGAAAATGTCAAACAAAAACTTGATTTGCTCTATTAGTTTGTATTGCACGCACCGGAAGCACTGAGTCCGAAACAAAGTAAAACTATCAGACACCATCTTTCCTGAGGAAGAGAAAAATACAGTTTCATCAAGAATTGAAGGTGGGCTCCTGGAGACCAAACACAGTTAAAGCTTTCTGTGACATGTTTAATACTCCCAAATTAAAACAGAGGGCTCCATATTTATAAAAGGCACAGATTAGCACTGGATTAACACAAGATCACCGTCTCTCATTTTCCTGCTATTTGTTTTATTAACAAATGTAAAGATGTTGGGTAATTGGACCTCCCAGTTTCACTCCCAGCCAATACTTTCATCTGAATTTATCAACAACACATGCTCATTAACACTCTTCATATTTTTTCATATCACCAGGGGATGTGAATAAATTTAGAATTAAAATGTGTTTCAGGTTATTTTTGGTTTTTATTTTCTTCAGTGAGTGGACTTAATCAACTTTTACCTTGATCTGTCTGGATTAGTGACCCGTTGATGTAAAACTATGAGAAGCAGTTATTCAAGTTAAAGGTGGTAAAAAGATTACTTGTAATGGGCGGATAATATCAAGAGCCCATTACTGGAAGCATTTCAATCTAAGTTATAATTGTCCAAACTGGGTAACAGTGGAGGTTTGTAATAGTAGCTCATTTGCCCATTCACCCTGATTGATCCTTTCAGCAATGCTCTCCCTTTGGTTAGGATGAATAATGTTAATTATTCACTACAAATTTGTAAAAAAAAAAAAAATAATAAAAAAATAAATAAAAATAAAAAATAAAGTTCAGAAAGCATTTAGAGCTGATGGTGGATTTCAGAATTGGTAAAATAATAGTTTTGTTTCTGTCTCACAGTTGGTTGGAATATTTCAGCTTACTAATAAGCATTTTTTATATGGAAGAAAATATGAGTCACCAGAATCTGAATAAGTACAAATACACAACATTAAAATTTCAGTGGCATTTTTTATTCAAATCCTGGTGACACACACAGCTCTGGAAAAAATTAAGAGGCCACTTAAAATGATCAGTTTATCTGATTTTTCTTTTTATAGGTATATGTTTAAGTAAAATTAAAATTATTCTACTGACAGCATGTTTCTGAAAATGTTGTATTTATTTGCAGAAAATTTGAAATTATCATATTCACATAGAAACAACAATACTAATTTTAACTCAGGAAGAATTCAGAAATTAATATTTGGTGGAAAAACCACAAGGTTTTCAATGGGGGTCAGTGCAATGATCTCTCAATTTATCCAGAGCTGTTTTTACTTCCATAGTATGAACACTGACTGCATTAAAAAACATTTCCAATCCAAAAATGTATTGATTTTGTCTTTGATGTAAGAGCAAAATTTATTTCTTTATTCTACAGTGCAAGATCGCTTGTGCTTTAAATATAACAAATGACTGACCACTCAACATATCTGCTAATAGTTTTTAAAGAGAAATTAGAGAATGTCTGTATCAGCAGGTCACAACTTAATGAGCCTAATATGAATTTTGCCAGAAAATCTGAGTGTCTGCACAAACAATATGTTAACACGTGTTAGCATCTCTGCTTCTGAAGATAAAGATGCTGTGAAGTAGCTTTGTGTTTAACCTTTCTTTACCTATTTAGATGTGTGCTTTTTAAAATGCCACTCCTACGAGATGTCTCTACATTTGCCAATCACCATAACAAGCTTAGCAAGAAAGCCAGTCTTGCGCAGCCTTCTGTTGTTCAGCTGCAGCTCCTGAAGGCTCATTAATTCTTGTTCATGCTGAGGTAAGCAGCATCTGTAAATGAGTGAAAGCTGCACACAATGTCACTGGCCTAAGGTAGGCTACCTGAGTGATGTTTAATGAGGTCGGCTACTTGTGTGGTCATGACAACAACAGGCAAGCTAAACAAAGAATCAATCACTGCTGGCATGGCCAGTGACAAAAATGCAGCTCGTTCACTCAAACCTTTCCATCCCGTCCACACAACACAAGATTTACACGCATCAAGCTTCAAAACCATTGTTGTTTTGAGATGTTAAGCAGCCGCTGCTAAATGCTTGATCATGAAAAGCTTTCATCCCTAGCAATAATCAAAAAGGCTTCATTAGTTTGAAGCACTTCTGAAAGTTAGTTTTGTTATCTGATTAGGATCTTAACTGGAACGTAAGGAGCTCAGGAATTTAACTTTCAATTAAGATACCATCCAGAAAAATTAATTAGCATCCACGGCTTATTTAGTCAAAATGCTTCATGCTTTAAAATTCAGTTTGGTAGAAATTTAAAAGGTTATTGAAGAACAGAAATGCTGTATAAGAGACTACTGTGATGATGTGAGTAGCTGTATTGGAGGAGGCGAAGGAGACACAGGGTGGGATTTAAAGAATGAACATGGAGTTATAGAGATTGGAAATCATGTTGGGATCCATATCTCCATGACCTAGAACAGACAACAGACAAAAAAAAAAAAAAAAAACATGGAGGAGTACTCAGGTGAAACAGTAGTAAATGTCAAATGTTTGGGACTGACCAAGGCAGAGAGCAAAGTGGAAAAAAGCAGCAAACAAAACTAGACAGGGTAGATGCCTGAGATTAGTGCTGGTGGGATTTCAACATCCCAGTTCGGCCATCAGAGCCATTGAGCCATGCCAAAATACTCTGCTGGACACCGTCTCTGCAGACTCAAATAAAGATAATACAATGATGACCTCCAAAAGGAGGAGAATGAAAATAGATGTTCATAACAATTTTGCTGAAGCAAAAATATGTTTCTGTTTTTCTATGTTTTTCTACATTAGCCAAAAGAGATTTAGTTTTCTATTAGAAACAATCTAACTGAGGGTATGATGTGGGCTGCTGAAAGGTATTTAAATGTTTCCATTTCAGAAATGCTTTCAGTTTTACCTGGACCTGGTCAGAGTGGACATTTTATTACAGAACATTTTGAATTCAGGAATACCACTAAGTAAAACAGAGAGTTATTATTCACCAGAAAGCGAGCGCATGGTTATGTTTGTATTCAGACTTCACAGTGTGAGCTGTCGTAGCTGCAGGCTAGAATGTGTTTTGACAAAAGCTTTGTTTCTATAAGTCTTTGTTATTTTCTGCTGTCAAAGCTGATTGTGTTTTTGTTCACTGTTAAATTGTGAAAAATGATATTTACCGCAGCTTGGTAAGAACTGCCCTAGAAACACAGGAAACACACTGGGTCCTTCTGATAATGTTAGAGTGATTGTAGCAAACTTGGAACCTATGCAAAGTCCTTTTAATATGTTGGTTTAGGTGTTTTTAGAGATTAATTTAAATTAATTTAAAATAACCAGAGTAGCTGCCAGCAGAGTAAGGACATTTTAGTGGTTCTAGAACAATAATTGTTGAAAACTTTCATTTGTGTAACCAAGTGTATGGTCTTTCTAGTCAGAAAAGTGACCCAAAGTGTGGAGTATTTTATGACACATGAAAACAAGTGATTTAAAAAAAAAAAGGATTAAATGAAAGCCATCAGACGGAGAGGCGTGTGTCTGCATATATTCCAACCTTGACTTTGCTCTCTAAAGAGAAGTGCTTCTTGACAAACAGCGCCCCCAGAGCCATGCCGAAGTGCTTGTTGGCCTGAGTGAGGCAGAGCCGGCCCAGCTCCAGCTGCTGTTCGGTGCCGTCGATCTCTCGAGAAAACTCGTGGATGGTGCTTCGGAAGGCGGTGGACAGGTGCTCACTTAGCGCTGCCACAATGCGCCACAGCATGTAGTTATGCAGAACCCTGAAGAGGAGAAAATAGATACATTATTCGTCTTTTGCCACAACGTTTCTTCTGTCAAGGGTTTTTTGAAATAAACCAAAAATAAAGGATTAAGAGAAACATTATTTTAACACAATACTTCCACTTCCCATGACATACATCGTAAGCTACACATGTCATGATCAAAATGTCGATCATTTCCTACCCAGTGACTTCGGGGAATATGTCCATCTCTCATAACCCTTGAACCAGATTATCTGGAAGGAGAAAATGGCTGGATGGACTTTTTACCATCACCATGCTTCATAGTCCAGGTTTGCTTTATTTGACACTGCTACACTCCATTTGATGCATCGCTGCTCGCAACAAAACTCAATAAGTGTTTACATCCATGCTGGTATGTGTACAACTCTACTCAATATGAATAACATTTCTGCTGGTGTCTGCACATCTCTGCTGATGCAGTTATTTATATTTTACAGACATGCATGTTTTGCACATTTTGAAATTAACCAACTCAGTTGCATGTTCTTTAGGACTGGAGTACACTATGTTTTTTAGAACTACACAGTATTGATGTAATTTATTTTGACCTTACTCTAGAGCAGTGTTTCTCAACCCTGGTCCTCAGCGCCCCCCTGTCCTGCATGTTTCTAGGTGCTTCCCTTCTGCCACACATCTGAATTGCATCTCCGGGGGATTAACAGGCTTCTGCAGCACTTGATGATCATGCAATAATTTGAATCAGCTGTTCTGGAATAGAGGCACATCTAAAACATGCAGAGCAGGGGGGCGGTGAGGACCAGGGTTGAGAAACACTGCTCTAGAGTATTTTTATTTCATATTCTGTTTTTTTCTTTTCTTTTCTTTTTTTTTTTTTTTACATTTTATGTTCAGTTTGTGTCTAAGTATTTGCTTTAACTGCTGCTGTTGCACATAAATTGTTGGACAACAAATTATATTTCTCTCCTATTCTATTGATTGGTAAGGGACTCAAATGATGTATAAAAACTTCAGATGTATTTTTAGAGAACATTATTAAGCAAATAGCATCAAGAAAACTAAGAAACACACCTGACAGGTCAGAGACAAAGTTGTGGAGAAGCTCAAAGCAGAGTTTGATATCCCTAGTTGTGAAAATCTGGAAGGCCTTGGTTCATTAAAAAATAAAAACAAAACAGCAAACCTAGCAAGACATGTGAGACCAACATCTAGTTGTGCACTTCACAAATCAGGCAAGAGTGGCAAGAAGAAAAGCATTGTTGAAAGAAAGACATAAGAAGTCCCCATTAAACTTTGCAGCAAGTCATGTATGGAGAAAACCATGTGGACGAAATTCCTCCAAAACCAGACTTTTTAGCTCGCAGATAAATACTATGTGTGGGAGAAAACCTGGAAGCCTCAACACCCCAGGCCCATTATGGCAGCATTATGCTGTTGAAATGATTTTCTTCAACAGGACAAGAAAGCTGGAAGGAAAATCCTGCAAAAAAAAAACAACAAACTGCTAGGGGCTGGAAAATACTTCATGGTTGCTACAAAATTAAACAAAGTTTAAAGTATGAAATATACAAACTTTGAAATGTGGAAAAAGGCAAACTTGGAATTATCCGTGCTACTTTATGCACAGCAATTGAAAATGAGATCTTCAAAAGTCAAAATTTTTATTTCAAGGGAATGTCATGCTGATTTTTCTGAATTATACCTCTGAAATCCAGACTTTGTTAATCATCTATCACTCATTTTTAATTTTAGCAATGTTATCCTACAGACAATCCTTAATGAGTCTCTCTTTTACAGTACTGCTGCTCCACCACTGCATCGCAGATCAAGAGCTGAGGGATTTAGCTTCATTCCTGTTGTTAATCAAACTTAAAGGTTTGTATATAGAAAAACTACACATCAACATTTTCCTTGAAGCTATGGAACTTGAGTTGCAATTAGGCTGTTGTGAGACAGGTTAGTTTTATTCAACTGAGGCAATGTCATTACCTTAGTAATCCTATTTGGTGGCAGATTAAATGCAAATAATTTTGATAAATCCTCTTATAAATGTGAAAAGCTTCAGAGTGTTGCCTGAGGATGCATATTTTTTTTTGTTTACTTTAAGCCCAAACTGACAAATCTGCAGCTAAATTCACAGCATTGGCCAACTACAATACCTGTCTTATTTTTCATATAAATTGTGAAAATACGGGAATTAAAAAAAGGTGTAGCTTAATTTAATTACTTATTTAATTCACGTGTTTTTGAGTCAGGATTCTGTATCTTGAGCAAACCTCTTACTACTTCTCTCATGTGCAGAGTCAGAGAAGCACTGCTGGACAGTGAGAAATCAGCGGGGTCCAGCAGTTAAGAGCTCCCTCCGATCCAGACGGACTAACAGGAGCGAGGCAGCAGAGGGCTGAGGAAAATGTCAAGCAGAGGAAGAGAAAATGGATCATTCATGTACGTATTCAAGCTGCGTCTTCTGCCCCCCAGACGATGCAGCGCTGGTGTGTCCTCGTGCTCCCACTGGGTCCGTGCATCCAATCTGCCTCGCAGGGACAAACGCCCCCTGCTCCTACTGTGAAGCTGCATGCTAAACTTCAGGCATGTTGTTGTTTTTTTTGTTGTTGTTGCTGTTTCTATGAATAATTTTGCTTATGCATGACAGATGTTAAGTCAAAAGTGCCTTGGCAACAGCACCCTGAGGTCCAACAGCAGAATTGTGAGGACAATTTAATTAACAGGCAAAGAAAGAGGAGGGAGGAGGGAGAGAAGTGGGTGGTTTAGTAAATGACTGGACTTCTCGTAACAGCTGAGGACAATGAGCTGATAACAATATATTTATTAGCGCAGTTACTGGTTTGACTTGCTCTTTCTACTGCTGCTATGCCCAGTATGAATATCTAGTGGTGTAGGTTTAGGAGTGTGTGTGTGTGTAAAGTAAAGCCATCATACTTATGTGGAAGTCATCTATATGATAATGGTGAAACTAAGACATGTATCCGATGCGTTTCTGGGGCCGGTGGTCGAGCAGCTTTATTTGAAGCATCTCTGAAGAAAAGTGACGACAGTCTGGGGACACGCCACAATGAGGTAATTATGATTAAAACCAACCCCGCGAAACTGTTTAATTTATAGATGTTTGTTATTCAAGGCTGTAAAACAGGAACGCAGTTGTCTTGGTGTTCGTGGGCCTTTCCTGTTCTTTGCGACTGCCACATTGGGATCGTTGTAAGATAGCAGCATATGATGCAGCAGGTGGCAAAACAAGAATAACTGTGGAGCTCTCAGGTTTGCTTTGTTAGACTTCTGCCTGGCTCACCAAATTGAAAGGAAGAAATACTTGTTGCAAATGTGACATAAGCAAGGGAAAATGTTCTGTGTGGCTCACACGCAACCTGTATTCTGCTTCTTGTGGAGCGCGGCCAGTCGGATTCAATATTGTTATCAGAGACAATGCTGACATCAATCTTAGACTGAGTGTGAGTTGAGGCCACCGACCAATTCACCAACCCCAGCGCCATGATTGTGTTGTTGATGCAGGGCATATTTTGAGTTATTTTACTCTGCACACCAAAACAATAAAACATATGGATACATTACATGCATTGCATGTCAACTGATGCTTCAAATATGAGTAGATGGATTTCATTGATTCTACAAAACGATTAAAAGGTTCTTGTTATGGCCAGAGTCTATTTTGGAAACGGTGTGCTATTAGGGAGAGAACTCTTCAGTTCTCTTGTGCTTCGGAGATATTTTGGTGTTAAAAGGGAGAAAACGCCAGACAGGCGTCTCTTACAGCCTGTGCTGGTTGCAGACATTGAGAGCAGTGGAAGTTGTGTGGGACTCTTACAGACAACTGGAGCTCCATAGCAGCAACACAGAGCTTCAGAGGAAGCATGAGGGTAACTAATGCAGAATATTTCTCTCGTGGATGTACCATGAAGAGTGCAGGATCAGAAAAACTTGGCAGTCTGTAGGAAGACTGACACAAGATGTAGATGTCTAGAATATAAATATGGGGGTGATGTTAGAGTTAGCAATGCAAACAGGGCTAATGAGTACAGCTGCTCATCATAAAGAGGTAAAACTGTTTGAAATTTCTCCATCATAAGCTTTGCAGTATGTGTCAGTAAAATAAAAAACTCAATCGTTTTGTAGCTTAATGCAGTTTCTCTCTCTGAGATCAAGATTGGTCAAAATACACAGTTAAAGTGCTTTTGCTGCTGGATGATGTAACTTTCCAGACCATTTTATAACCTATACACCCCATTAAAGCCACAGAGTTGAAAACAGCTTTTAAAAATCTGAAACTTGTTGTGCTTCTTCTTAGATGTTTGTCTAAGAAACAGGCTTTCTGTTGCCTACCGTTATCGTGCAGACGTGAAAGAATAATTCTGTGGCTTGTTATTTAATAATCAGGTACAATTCATGATGCATGCACAAAGTAGCAAAGTAAGCATGTTTTGTGTAAATTATTCATACTTGGTTTAGGGTCGGGACCTTAAAGCATCCATTTTGATTCATTACTTACATAGATTTTAGCATGTCAAAGATTTTAACACAATTAGTCACTTTTTTTTTGTACATACAAAAGTACGAAGTGGAACCTTTGCATTTATGTGTTTCTGGTACACCCGTAAATCTGACGCACAAGCAACATCGTCATTCTCTGTAAACCTGAGAGGTGGTTATGTTAGACAACCCAAGTAGATAAACAGTTTCTAAAGTACTCAGAACATCCGTCCTGCCACCAAAAACCATGACATGTTCAAAATCTGATGTTAAATTTTACCTTCAGCTACTTATCTTCACCACGTCAAGATTTATAAGTTCATTGCGCTAGTACTAGGTGATTGCATGACTCTGGGAATAGACTAAACATATTTTAGGCCAAACAAAGAGAAAACATTAGACATTTTTTCTAAAGTGTTCATCTTATTTTAAGTCTCTTTTTCAGATTTAATATTTTTTTTTGATAAATATTCTATGTTTTATTTATTGCTGAGCAGGTAAAACGGAAAGAACAA